CTTGGTGAGGATATTAAAAACTAGCATAAAACATGAACTATATAGTTTATGTTTTTCACCCATCGAATAATGCTATATAGACCAGGACAATTATCAACAAAAAATGATCATAGAAAAGAATTCTTTTTTTAATTTCACCAAAAATAGAAGAGACTATTTTGATATAATTTTGATGCATATAAATGTCCTTATGTTACCCATAAACTTTGAGTGGATTTTGATTAAAATTAGATTTTTTATGAATTTTTTATAAATACTTTATATAATCAAACCATGTGCTTTCACATTGATAAAAATCATAACCATAACCATAATTAAAACATTACATCTATTAATGCCAAAAATTGTTTGTGTATATAATATTGTGTGCATTTAATCCTAAAGAAGTGAAACCATCTCATTCTTTAATTTGCTATGATAAAATGTAAAAAATGATCATTATTAGTAAACTCATTCTTTACTATTGATATCTCTATCAATCCCATCAGCTACAGCATTCTCTCCTATCTCCCTCAATGCTTGTATCAATGTATCATAAGTTGGACCACCTTTACTCTTTACATCATCAGCTTGTTGCAGCCATGCTTTCAAGCATTCTCTTAGGCAGCTATGAACATTTCCTTTGTTATTATCTTTAATAACATCAAGTGTATGAGAGTACAGTCCCAGATAAAGACCAAGATCATAATAACTGTCACCAGAGCCAGAATATCCATGCTTTTTCAGTAATTTAATTATTTCAAGAAGACTCTTGGTATCTAATGGAATAATATTGATAATTACTGGTATTTTGAAGCATGTAGACTAAAGCATGCTATATGCTTACCTAACTGCCCTTTGTGTCTCTTAGTAGGTGGACCTTCTAATGATGATTCAGCTCCTAGATTAAAGTATGTTGTAATATGAAAAGAATAATAATTGTTATTAATAATAAAATTGGTGAAGTGACATAAAAGAATCACTGAAGAGAAATCAAACTACCTTTCATACTATGTGTTCTTTTTCTTATCATGCCAGTCTCAGCAGCTCCTTTTAAAATATTAATTATTAAATATATATCATCATTCTCATTATTATTATAACTCTAACCTGGATTGGATGATTGACAATCACTAAACCAACATTTATAGCTATCGTCAGCACCTTTTAGTACTTTACATTGTTGTGAACATTGTGTACACCAGGTAGAACATTTATCTTCCTTAACAATGCAAGTGTTTCTGGGGGGACATTTGAAAGCAAAAACAAACTTATTATCTTCTTTAAGTCTGAGATCTTTACAGCTATCTACGACAGCTTCTGAGACTAATTCACGAATTTGTGGACAAATGTCCCTCCAGTGATCACGAACACGTATTTCAAGATGAGTATAGCGATTGATGATATCAATGTGGTATTCTTCAAAAACACGAAGTGACATTGCATTGTTACATCTGTAATATTCTTTGTCTACTGGACTGAAGCCTATATTATCTTTTTTCTCCAAAAGGTGTACAATGGTTAAGGGAAATAATCCTTGAGGGATGGCTAGAGTTGTTTCATCTCTTTCTTTGATCTTCCATGCTATGAGAAGTGGTTGTATTTCTGTTGGAGGAGGATTGAGCTTATCATAAGATGGTAATGCACACGGGAAAAAATAGTCTCCTTCTTCTCTGTTTTCTACTTTGGCAATGATGTGGAGGTGTATTAGAAGCT